CTGCCCTGCCCTGCCCTGCCTTGCAAAGATGGGTTGGCCACCTCTGATCCTGCTCTTGCTTTCCACAGCTTCACCATCCCTCCCAAGGCTTCCGTTTTGGTACGGTCTGGGAGAGCAGCGCCGAGGAATACATCAAGAAAAGTTTTCCAGACATGCACGAGTACATGAGGCGTCACAGTGTCCCCACCACCCCTGCTGGGGTGGCCATACTCAAGTAAGTGGAGTCCGGCTTTCTGAGGACCGTCCTGGGAATGAAAGAGTCGGGCCCTGTTCTTCTGGTTTCTCCTCGGAGCAAACAGATCTCTTCCCATTCCAGCCTTGCCCATTAGAAGCAGAGCAGGGGACGTCAAGGGCCTCTAGGCAGCTGGGTGTAATTCTGTTGGAATTTTGGACTTCAGAAACCTTCTGCAAACCTTCAGATTTCAGACAAGAAGTATCTGCCTTTCTCCTGGCCGCCCAGGAAGGAAGCAGTCTGGGCACAGGGCGACAGTAGCAGAGAGACAGGAGGGTGTCAGGGAAAGAGGAGAAGGCGGGCTATTCAGTCAAGACGGGGACAGAAAAAAGAGATCATGTCGGATGGAGTCAGAGTGAGGAAAGGGGTGGCAGGAGGAGGAATTTAGCCCTGCCCCTTTGCCTTGCTGCCAGCCCACCAGCAACCTCTCACCACGAAGCGCTTCTCTGAAATGTAATTCAGGCGTCTTTGTCTACACTTGCCCATCCATATCTTGGCCATCTTAAAAGTACTAAAAGTCCAGCTCGAGCGAGTCCTGGAATGGCCTCCTTCCCTCCTCGCCATGCACGTACCCTTTGATCAACATCACTGGTCCCAAATTATTCCGAGGCTTTTATAGGTAAGAAATCAGCACTTCGTTTCATATTATTCATTTATTCATTTGATTGGATTTTTGTCCCACCCAATAACTCAAGCTCTCTTGGTTTGCAGCCAACATATTAAAGATGCAGTAAAAATATAAACCACATTAAAGCATCATAAAAAACGTTACCATCCAAAAATGTAATTCCAGACTGGAAATGTGGCCAGGCAGGGTTTGGTCGGGATCACCAGGGACTTCGAGGCCTTGGGGAAGAAACTCAGGGAGCTAAAGGCCCAAGTGGCCTTCTCGTCAATCCTACCAGTCCGGGGATTTGGGCCAGGAAGGGACAGGAGGGTCTCCGAGGGGAACGACTGTGCCAGAAGGAACGCTTCAGGTTCCTTGACCATGGCACTCAGTTTCTTGCCAATGGACTTCGGCAAGGGACGGGTTGCACCTCCCGAGGATGGGGGAAAGGCCCTTTGGAGACGCTCCAGCGAGCTTCTTCTGGAAGACTTTAAACTGAGCCGGGGGGGGGGGTTTCAGGCCCCCCAGAAACGTGTCTGCACTGGACAAGTGTGGGGAGAGGATCAGGGCTCTGGGAGCAGGTTTTAGAGGTACTGCAGGGACTGACAGGACTCCTACAGAGAGGGGCCAGGTATCAGGGAGGATGGGAGGCAGGAGGAGGCTGGGGACTCCAAGGAAAGGGAGCGGTGGGAAGGAGTTGGGGTGCATGTACACCAATGCTAGGAGCATGGGTAACAAGCAGGAAGAGCTGGAAGCTCTCCTGGGAATGGGAGGGTCTGACCTGCTAGGGATCACGGAAACCTGGTGGGATGAAAGGCAAGTCTGGAACGTGAACATAAAGGGGTATCACCTTTTTAGAAAGGACAGGAAGGGAAAGAGGGGTGGGGGCGTAGCTTTATACGTCAGGGAAGGGATAGGATGCAGTGAGATAGATTGCAGCGCATGGGGATTCGGCAGAGGCAGTCTGGATGAAACTTAGGGGTTTTGACAGGGAAAGAGACCTGACAGTGGGGGGAAGTTATCGCCCTCCAGGTCAACTTGAGACCCTGGATGATGTCCTGACAGGCCAGATTCTAAGAATATCTCGGGGGAGAGACACAGTAATTATGGGAGATTTCAGTCTCCCGGATATTAGTTGGGAGACTCACTCGGCGGTGACAGCCAGGTCACGTCGCTTCCTAGAAGCTATGGAAGGAGGGTTTTTCACACAGAGGGTCCGAGAGGCGACGAGGGGGGGAAACATCTTTGACTTGGTCTTGACCAACAGGGAGGAGCTGATGGATGGGGTGCAGATTAGGGGCACTCTGGGTGCAAGTGATCACTTCATCCTTCGCTTTGAGGTCAGGGGACTGGGGACGTGCAGCAGGTCGAGCACTAGAAGCTGGGACTTCCAGAGGGCCAACTCTGGCCATTGAAGGCCAGACTGGGGAAAGTCTCCTGGGACAGGTTACTGGGAGGCAAGCGAGTTGAGGAGGGGTGGATGGCACTCAAAAGGGAGGTTTTGGAGGCGCAAGCCTTGACGATACCTCTAGTCAGTAAGGTGGGGAGGCGGAGGAGAGGCCGCCATGGATGTGAAAGGAGGTGGTAAGAGGGATTAGACACAAGAGGAACCTCTGTAGGAAATGGGTGCTGGGGGAAATAGACAAAAGGGTATACCAGAAGGAGGAGGCCCGTTGCAGAAGGATTCTTCGCAAGGCTAAGGCCAATTACGAGCTGAGACTTGCCAAGAACATCAAAAGCAACAGAAAGGGCTTCTTTCAGCATGTAAATAGGAAGAGGAAGGGGAGACAAGTGGTGGGACCACTAAATAAGGAGGAAGGAGATCCAGTGACTGATACGAGGGAACAGGCACAGATGCTGAATGACTATTTTGCCTCTGTGTTCTCCCCAAAGCAGGACGGGGAATATCCGCATAGGAGATTAGATGAGGCCGGGGACTTAGGGGCACAGATTAGAGTCACCCCCCCTTGAAGTCGAGGGGCTGCTCAGGGCATTGGACATTACAAAGGCGCCAGGCCATGATGGGTTACACCCGAGAGTACCTAGAGAGTTGGCAGGGGCACTCTCACGCCCACTGGCCTCCATTTTTGAGACCTTGTGGAGAACGGGTGAAGTTCCGGAAGACTGGAAGGTGTAGTCAGTGGTCCCAGTTTTCAAAAAGGATAGTAGAGGGGACAATCTGTGTGCTTGCACCTGGCTTTTCTCACTTCCCACGATCCTTTCACCCACCACCGTGCTGGGTTGTATCTATTCCTCATTCATTTGTCGAGACGTCTGTATAAATGGACTGGCATGCAGGAACTTCAGAATGATTCACTGCCTCGTGTTTCGCTGTGCCTGTCTCATTCTGTGTGTCGGCACCGCAAACTCAGTGGGCAATTAGTAACGTTCAGCTCTCTTTGATCAGGACCAATCCCCCCAAACTGAATGCCTTCATCATGGACAAATCTTTGCTGGACTACGAGGTCTCCATCGATTCGGACTGCAAGCTGTTGACTGTGGGGAAACCCTTTGCTATTGAAGGTGGGCCTCCAGGGACGGGGTGGGGAGGGTGAAAGGGGCGTTTAGTGAGAACCAGCCCTGGCCAAGTGTCGGGGCTACGGGGGTCATTCTTTAGAAAATGGGCAGCGTGTTAAATTGGGACGTGGGAGCAACGTACATGTTCAGGTACAGCCGGATTGTCCTCTCTTTCTTTACTTCCCTTCCTCTGTCCATCGCTCCACTTCTCTCTTCTTCCCCTTGTTCCCCTCGTATTTCTTCTCTCTTGTCTCTCTCCCACCCCTTCCCTTCCATCTTCCTCTTTCTCCTCTGCCCTTTTGCAGTTCCCTTCTTTGCACTCTCTCTTTTTTCTGTCATTTGCTCGTTTTTTCTTCCTGGACTGATACCTCTTTCCCTCTTCCTTCCTTCACTGATAATACCACCGTTTAACAAAACAGTTCAGTTCTGGCACGCCAAATATATTCCTGGTCTCTGAATTCTTTAATTCGAAACAGGTTTCTTTTCTACCTGACTCAAACGGATGGGTCTTGGGGTGGGGTGGGAGAACAGGTTGATCTTTCGCATCTGTCCCCCACTCCCTAGTGCATATAATATTTTGGGACCAGAGGAACTAAGCAAGCTCCAAAATCAGGGAAACCCAGTTGTCATAATGAATGGGGCAGTCATTCTCACTAAGCCTAGCCTACCTGGCTGGTTGTTGTTAGAAACTGGAGAACTCTCAAGGAGGTGGCCTTAATCTTGCTGGGGGAGAGGTAAGCTAGAGAACTGGTGGTGGTGACTGGGATTGTTATTAGTACTGATATTGGTATTCCTGGTGGAATAATATCTAGCCCTGCCTTGCATAACCCGCCGGACGCGGCCTCGGGCTTGCGGCCGAAGAGCAACGGCCAAAGGGAGGTGCCGCCGTTCGTGGCCGTTCGTGGCCGTGCAGGGCTGGGCTGGGGGGGGGGGGGGTGTGGGGGGGGGGGGGGGTTTTTCTTTTTTTGTATTGGGGGGGAAAGGGGGAGTTTTGATTGTTTTAAAGTTTTTATTGTATTTTAATCTGTTTTATGGAGTCGTCCCTGGCCATGCCAACGCTTGAGTTTCCTGGGGAGTGCGGGGGCGCCGCCATTGGCGTGGTCATGGGCAATGGGCGTTACAGCAGTGGGGGCTTAACGTGTTCGCGTAGAAGAAGGAGGGACAGATGGCAGACACCTGTCCCTCCTTCTGGTTCTTCCCCCAGCCAGAGGGCGCCAGGTAGCCTTGTCAACCGCCCCTCGGGCCTGACGGTGCTGCTGCTCAATGCCAGGTCGGTCAATAACAAATCTTCCCTCATCCATGACTTGATTGTGGAGGAGGGGGCCGACCTGGCCTGCATAACAGAGACCTGGGCGGGAGAAGGGGGGGAATGTCGCCCTCTCTCAAATGTGCCCACCCGGGTATCTGGTTCAGCACTGTCCATGCCTGGAGGGGGGGGTCGCTTTGGTTTACCGAGCCTCCATCTCCCTCGCAGGACTTCCGGTCCCTTCGAGACCAGGGCTGGAGTGTCTCTACTTGGTGTTGGGCGACCGAGACAGATTGGGGATTCTGTTGGTGTACCGTGCACCCTTCTGCCCAACAGTCTCTCTGCCTGAGCTGATGGAGATCGTCTCGGACCTGGTGTTGAGGACCCGCAGGATGTTGGTCCTGGGGGACTTCAACCTCCACGTTGAGCTGGTTCTGCCCAGGGCGGCTCAGGACTTCATGGCCTCCATGGCAGCCATGGGGCTGTCTCAACATGTCACCGGCCCGACCCATGAACGTGGACACATCCTGGACCTGGTTTTCTCGACGGGGCAGAAAGAGGGTGGTCTGAGGGTGAGGAATTTATGCTTGACTCCCCTGTCATGGTCAGATCACTTCCTGGTGAGGTTTGTGCTCGAGAGCAGCCTCTCCCTCTGTAAGAGTGCGGACCCGATTGTGTGGGTCTGCCCTCGGAGCCAGATGGATCCGGATGGATTCCTGACGGCCCTGGGGGAGTTTCCAGCTGACAAGACTGGTGCTTCTGTCGAGGTTCTGGTCGAACTGTGGAACAGAGAGATGACCAGGGCTGTGGACACGATCGCTCCTAAGCGTCCTCTCCCGCCAGGCAGAGCCCGCTCTTCCCCTTGGTATACACCTGAATTGTGGGCGATGATGCAGGCTGGGAGGCAGCTAGAGCATAGGTGGAGGAAATCACGGGATGAATCTGACCAAACACACTTGAGAGCCCATTATTGGGCCTGTGCTGTGGCGGTGAGGGCGGCGAAAAAGAAATTCTTCTCCATCTCCATTGCCTCCTCAAAATGCCATCCAGCAGAGCTTTTTCGAGTGGTGCATGGCCTGGTTTATCCTGGCCCCAAGAAAGATCTGGTTCCACCCTCGAAGGCCCGCTGTGATGACTTTGCCAAGCATTTCCGGGAGAAAATCGCTCAGATTCGTCACAAGCTAGACTCTACTAGCAACTCAGAGGTTTCTGGGAGACACCAGTGCTGCCGTCTGGTCCAAAATTAATGGATGAATTTCAGTTATTGCGGCCCGATGATGTGGACAAGGTGCTTGGACGAGTACGTCCCACCACTTGCCTATTGGACCCTTGCCCGTCTTGGTTAATAAATAACTCCAAGCACGGGATTGGGACCTGGATCTTGGAAGTGGTTAACGCTTCTCTGAGGGAGGGTCGAGTGCCTGCCCCTTTAAAGGAGGCGGTAATACAACCGGTCCTGAAGAAAGCGTCACTGGATCCAGAGATGGCCGCCAATTATAGACCGGTGGCCAACATCCCGTTTCTGGGCAAGGTGTTGGAGCGAGTGGTGGCGGGACAACTCCAGGCACTCTTGGATGAAACTGATGATCTGGACCCATTTCAGTCCGGCTTCAGACCCGGGTACGGTACTGAATCTGCCTTGGTCGCCCTGTACGATGACCTGTGCAGGGAGAAGGACAGGGGGAGTGTGTCCCTGTTGGTTCTCCTAGACCTCTCAGCGGCTTTCGATACCATCGACCATGGCATCCTTCTGGATAGGCTTGCGGGATTGGGGGTCAGAGGCACTGCTTTGCAGTGGTTCCGCTCCTATCGCAACGGCTGGTTCCAGAAGGTGGTGCTGGGGGACTGTGGCTCTGAGCCATGGCAGCTTTGCCATGGAGTACCACAGGGGTCCATTTTGTCCCCTTTGCTATTTAACATCTACATGAAACCGCTGGGAGAGGTCATCAGGAGGTGTGGGCTGCGGAGTCGTCAGTATGCTGATGATACCCAGCTCTACCTCTCGTTCTCCACTAATCCAGGTGAGGCAGTAGCTGTACTGAACCGGTGCCTGGCCGAGGTAATGGGCTGGATGAGAGCCAATAAACTGAAGCTCAATCCAGACAAGATGGAGGTCCTGTTGGTTGGCGGATCGGGCTTCGGAGAGGGTGGATTTGACCTGGTCCTGAATGGGGTTGCACTCCCTCTTAGGGACAAGGTTCGCAGCCTGGGAGTGCTCCTCGACCCCGAGCTTTCACTGGAAGCTCAGGTGACAGCGGTGGCGAGGAGCGCTTTCCTTCAGCTTCGGCTGATCCATCAGCTGCGCCCCTACCCGGAGTACGACTGCCTGGCGACAGTGACACACGCGCTGGTGACTTCCCGCCTTGACTTCTGCAACGCGCTCTATGTGGGGCTACCCTTGAAGACGGTCCGGATACTTCAGTTGGTTCAGAATAGAGCTGCCAGGCTGCTGAAGGGGACTGGGCATTATGTTCACATGACTCCAGTCCTCCCCCAGTTTCACTGACTCCCCATTGAAGCCCGGGCCCAATTCAAGGTGTTGGCGATGACCTATAAAGCCCTAAACGGCTTGGGTCCTGGCTACCTGAAGGAGCACTTACATCAATATATGCCCAGCCGCCCCCTGAGATCTGCGGGAGAGGCCCTTCTCCGGGAACCCTCCATGAAGGATATTAGGAGGGTAAGAACTCAGAGGAGGGCTTTCTCTGCGGTGGCACCCAATCTATGGAACGCGCTCCCCAGAGAGGTCCGCCTGGCGCTGTCGCTATTTGTTTTTTGGCGCCAGGCGAAGACCTTTTTATTCAAGCGCCATTTTAATTGTTAATGTTATTTTTATTTTAAAGTTTTTTGGCCAGGGCAACTTATTTTATACAGTTACGTGTATTTTATATTGCTATTTATGTATTTTATTTATTTATTTGTAAGCCGCCCCGAGGCTTCGGCAAATGGGGCGGCCTAGAAATTTTCTAAATCAATAAAATAAATAAATAAAATGAGCCACCCTTAGCCAGGGCAGCTCTGTGCCACAAGATTTTGGCAGGATGGAAGCACGAATGGCCACAGAGAGAAAGTTTCACTTGATTGTTGATAAGGCCCATCTTTCTGTTCCTGCACCCGATATCCAGGCTGCCTTTCTGCACACAGAGTTCCTTCCCCTCTAATCTAGGACAACCTTTGCCAGCGTAGCGCCTTCCGTCATTTTGGCCCTGTCGGCTGGGGGCTGACAGGTATTGCAACCTGTTTCCCCTGGAGGACATCAAAGGTGAGGTGGCTGGTCCAGGGCCACTGATGTCTGGATGGAGGAGCTGCAGTGGCAGCGAGGAAGGTCAAGGCCGAGAAGGGGGCAGAGGATTCAGGGCTCTCGCCTGCTCTTCCGCCGCCGCCCCAGCTGCCTCCGCGAGCACGAGCCATCCTTGTCTGCAACGCATCTGGAAGGCGGTTTCTGTGGCACCCAGAAGCCTGCGTGGGTGTTTGGTGCTGCAGCCGTTCCTTTTGGGATGCGAGCAGAGGCTGGACCCGGGAAGGCTCTCTGCTCGCTGCAGAGCGGGCGAGATTGACCTTGGACCAGGAACGGGTGGGGCCAGGGAAGCCCCCCCTCCCTCCTTGCCCTCCCATCCTTCCCCCCTTGAAGTCGCTAATTGCTTTCCCGTCACCTTGGCCCCGGCGTCATCCGCAATGCCTTTTGATCCTCTCAGAACCTCATTAGCGCCGCTGCAAACTTGGGAGCTGCCCAGAATACCAATGATTCTCACGTGTCCGCCCACGCCAGCGAGCTCAAGAGCCGCCGGGTGTTGTTGATGCTGGGAAAGAGAAGAGGCGTGGCGGGGGGGGGGGTGCATGTAGAGCTGCCCCCAAAGGAATGGCAGGTTGGAGCGGGGCACAGTGCGGGGAGAAGCTGGCTCAGACGATTCGGGGGCCGTCGCAGCCCCTCGGCAGGGAACGGTGTGGTATCTGGGTCTGTTTAGATTATTTTGGAACGGCACATTTGGGAAGGCAGAAGAGAGGTGTATAAAACGATGCACGATGCGGGGAAAGCATCAGGGGGAATATTTTCCTTCTTCTCCGTAAGACCAGGACCTAATGGGGTCATTCTGTAAAGCTGATGGGTGGGAGATTTAGGACAGATCTAAGGAAAGGCTTCTTTGCACGGTGCAAACTATGAAAGTCACGTCTGTGAGATGTTTTTGTGATGGCCACCAGATCGGAGTGCTTTACAAGGGGACTGTGCTAGCCCTGATCTGGCATGGCTCTTCCTGTGTTCCTAGAAAACCTGCCCACTCCCAGGGAAAGTTAGACTGCCAATTTGCCGGTGAGGAAAGATTTTGAAGCTTTGGGATGGGAAGCAGGTTACCATAGTTTGCTTAACCTTCCACTCAAAGGGGCCCTGTTCAGCTTTGAAAAAAAATAAGAAAAGTCTGGATGGATCAGCATGCTTGTGAAATGGAGCTTCCATGCCCAGGAGCAGTCTACCGGATGGTGGAAAGTCTGGGTGGATCAGATTGCTTGTGAAGTGGAGCTTCCATGCCCAGGAGCAGTCTACCAGATGGTGGAAAGTCTGGGTGGATCAGATTGCTTGTGAAGTGGAGCTTCCATGCCCAGGAGCAGTCTACCAGATGGTGGAAAGTCTGGGTGGATCAGAACACTTGTGAAATGGAGCTCCTATGCCCAGGAGCAGTCTACCAGATGGTGTCACAAGCAAACAAGGAAAGGTGCTGCTTTTCACCCAGGGCAATATTTCTCTGGTTACACAGGCAGCTTGAATGCTGGATCCCAGCGGAGGGGCTTCCTTCTGGGGTTGATGAGAAATGTGCAGGTGTTCTGAACTGTGACCGGCAGGCCCCAACTAAAGCGTCTCCCCCTTTCTGCTCCCCAAATCTTTGTGGCTTGCCTCAGGCTATGGGATCGGCCTTCCACAGAACTCGCCTCTGACCTCCAACATCTCCGAGTTCATCAGCCGGTACAAGAGTGCGGGCTTTATGGACCTTTTGCATGACAAGTGGTACAAGATGGTGCCCTGCGGAAAGCGGGTCTTTGCCGTCACTGAGGTATGGGGGCTCCGGAGGGTTGGGTGGAAAACGGCTGCTTGGAACTACTTTCTGCTCGGCTGCATTTCGGAGAAGCTTCAGGAGCCGCGTTCCAGCAGTGGGCAGCACCACGAGCAAAAAGGAACATGGCTGACTTTAAAAGGACCCAGAACTTAGTAGCTTAAAGCTGCAACTTCAGAAGCAGTGTGGACTAGTGGCTAGAGTGCAGGAGATCTGGGTTGTAGTTCCCCCCTCATCTGTGAATTTGTGCCTGGTGACTCTCAGCCTAACCTACCTCAAAGGGTTCTTGTGAGGATGAAAAGGAGAGAGGGAGCATTATATAAACTCCCTTAGATTTATTGCAGAAAAAAATGGAATAAGTACACAATCTCCTGCTGTGAGTAGCTTAACCTTTAGGGAGGGATTTCAACCTTTGGAATGGGAGGAAAAGCTGCCCAAAACCTGGGAAACCCAAAATGTTCCGCAGCGGGAGGAAAGGGGGCAGAGCCCCAAACTGGAGCACTCCCCTGGGGAATCCCGCAGGCCAGATTCAGCCCAGGGGCCTCAGGCTGGTCACCCCTGGATTAAAAGATGGCTCAGCGTGGTGGCAAACAAATTTGCCCCGTCCAGTGATTTAGCGGTGCGCTGGAGTGCGCTTGCTGATCGGCAGAGCACTGCTCCAAAAGGGGTTGACCAACAGGATTCGTTTCCTTCTTTCTTCTGTATCTTTTGCGCTGTGCTTCTTACGCACGAGGACCTGCGCGTGCATTTGATGCGTCTTTCTTCTCTGCCCAGACTCTCCAGATGGGAATCTACCACTTCTCCGGCCTCTTTGTGCTCCTTTGCATCGGGCTGTGTGGCTCCCTGCTCACCTCGCTTGGAGAGCACATCTTTTACCGCCTCATTCTGCCCCGCATCAAGCGCAAGAAGAAATTCAACTACTGGCTGCACACCAGCCAGGTGAGCAAAAACTTTGCGTCTGCGCACAGCAGTTTCTTTGGAGGCAGCTGCAGGGGTGTTTGTGCCCTGCTCGGAGCTTTTTATTTTTTATTTATTATTTATCCAAAGCTTTTGTATGCCGTCCTATTATATAAAAATCTCAGGGCGGCTTACAATATTTAAAGGAACAATTAAAACAACAACCATGTCTAATACATAAATTGAAACAAAATAATATATAAAACAAAATGGTAAAACACAGAACAAAACAGAACAGGAGCGGCTGAGCGTTAAAAGTTGCTGATTTTTAAATACCGTTTAAAGAAAAAGGTTTTGACCTGGTGCCGAAAAGAGTATATGCTCGGTGCCAGGCGGACCTCTCTGGGGAGCGCATTCCAGAGTCTGGGGGCCACCGCAAAGAAGGCTCTGCTCCGAGTTGATGGCCTTTTTACCTCTTAGAGAGGGTTCCCGGAGCAGGGCCTCTTCCACAGATCTTAGGGGGCGTGAGGGCTTATGAGGAAGGAGGCCGTCCTTCAGCTATCCTGGTCTCAAGCCATTTAGGTCCCAAGCCGTCCCAAGCTTTCCCTTTGGGGCAGCTGGTTGAACTGTATGTGGGACTGGATGGAGCTGGGGTCCAATTTCAAAAGGTTCCTCTCACACTCTTTTCTATCCCCTACGGAAAACCGAGACTGGGCAAACCATGCAATGATCAAACTAGAAGATCCCTCAGAGGGGTGGGTTTTTGCAGAGCTGGGATCCAATCCCCATTTAACCCCAAAAGTTCATGATCTTGGGGCGGTGTGCCGGGCTCCCTTTGCAGCAGCATATAGACGTGGAAGAGGGAAAGGGAATCTGAAACCCCACTCCTGCATCTGGGGAGGAAGACTGGGATTAAGCATGTAACCTGGGATGGCAAAGCTCAGCCTGAGCCTGAGATGCCACCCGCTTTCCCTGCCCCCGGGTCCTTCCATTGCCCCCCAGTTTCTGTAGTTTCTCCCACGCCATTTCAAAACTGGCTGTAAAAGCCTTAAGATCTTTTCCCCTGCAAAGGAACCCGAACTGAGCTTGTAACCATAGCCACTAGCATAATGTCTGAGTGGCAAGAGAGCCGCACACATTCTTCATATGCTCAGAGGCATGCTTTTTCAGCCTACAAGTCTGTGACCTCACTGTTTTCTTTATATATGTGCGCCAGAAAATCCACCGGGCTTTGAACATGGGGCTAGAGGAACAGAGGATCAAGAAGCTAAATTTGGAGAAAAGGTATTCTTTTAGTCATGTTCTCAGCTCTGTTGCTAAACTCTGAAGTTTTAAAACACCTTTTCAAGGCTCCCTGAGCAATTCAGCCACTGTTTTACTGATTTTGTTTCCCAGTGTATGACTTTATTCTTACTCCTTGTGTGCCACCCCAGAACCCCTGTATTGGAATGTGGAGAATCATATTGGATTGTATAGTGGGGAGGGCTGGGAAGGAACTGGTGCGGGGGAGGAGCAGAAAAGAGGGCCGCCTCCTTCCCATGTACGATGGTGGCAAAAGAGAGCACCACTTGGAAATCAGATGTTAGATTCTCCCACTGCAGAAAACTTTTGCAGATCAAATATCTTGGGTAATCGAGCTCCAACGTAGAAACAGAGTGTGTAAGAAGGGGTCTCCGGGACCATCTAGTCTGACCCCGGCTCCAGCCGGCTCTGCTCACGACACGCCCACCGTTTGGACGTCCAGCCTGTCCTTGAACAGCCGCACCGATGGGGCCCCCACCACCTTGCCTGGAAGCCCATTCCACACCCTGGGGGTCCCGACTGTCAGGAAGGACTTCCTGGCATCTAACATAGCATTGGATCCTGCACTTCCGATGCATGGCACAGGAATAGCACTGTCTCCAGCCCGGCCTGCAATGCGGCAAGGGAGAATTTTACAGCAAGCCCACATAATCAGTCAACACACATCCCCCTCGCTTCCTAGAACAGCCAGAGAAGAGCTCTTCTCCCTCTTTTCTGGCTAGCGAGACTTCGGAAGGATGGGTCACCCGCCTTTGGAGCTGCTGGCCGTGTTTTGTCCTGCAGGCGTGTTGGGCTGCATTTCTCACAATCCCCCTGGCAAGTTAATACAACGTTAGACACAACAGTCTGTCCCGGGAAGGTCATGTGCCCTCTTGTTGTGAATTTTTTTGCATTCAGTTGCATTTACGATTGAACATTTCCCCCATCCTTCTTGTGGCTGTCCGTTTTCAGAGAGATCTGCAAGGAATGTCTTGTTATTTAGATAGGGACACAAGAGGGTTTCTTTTTGGTTCGGGGGAAGGTTAGGGAAGAGTTTCAGGTGGGGTTTGGAGGGGGGAAGTCAGTCACCTCTTTCTTCTTTCTGCTCCCCAATAAATGATCCCCCCTCCCAAAAAAGATGCAACATTCAGAAGAGTCAAGAAGAGCCAGAGCAACCCCCCAGCCAGCCTGGGTGGAACAACCTACGTCGGGCGGCTGTGAAGAAGGAAGACAAGCGGGTGCATTTCAATATCGAGAACACGCCAGACGAGCCGTCGGAAGACGAGAGAGAGGCAGCCGTCTGGCACTGCATGAACGGCCAGGATCCACAGCAGGACGACAAAGAAGCCAAAGAGAAGGAACTGAAGGAGCTGGAGGGCAAAATCGAGGCCATGCGGGAAGAGCTACGGGCTGCCTTGGTGCGGAAGAGCGAGCTGATGGTGGCGCTCGGACCCCCGCCCAAAGCCCCCCAGCTCCCACCCGCTCTGAAAGCACTGATCAAAGCGAACAATGAGGACAGGTGATGGAGGAAAGGGAGCGCCTGTGGGTGGGCCGGGTGGCGCCCACGTGGCGTGGCGCACAAACGAAAAAGACGCGTGTGGTTGCAAAATGCTTGGGCTCTGGCCGCCGTTGCACCGGCAAAGCTTGAGTTCCAGCCTCCCCTATTACTCCGAGACCCGTGCAGTCAAATCCGTGCTTTGCATGTGGAAGGTCCCATTTTGGATGCGGCTGAGGAGCGTCTTGGCTGGTGGGCCGGGAAAGACGGCTGCAGAGCAAACGGGGCCGTGTCCCAAGGTGCTAACAAGGGGGTGTCCGTGCCACGAAACACCATTTCCTGATTTCTGCAGGGATCAAGCCCGTTGAAGTCACAGGAGAACCCCTGAGCTACGTTCGGTGGTCTCTTGGGACCATCGGCCAGGAACGTGAGGCGGCTGTGAATGAGGGCAGATGGAGGGGAGAGGTCCCACAAAGGTGGGGGCTACCATGGCTTCAAGGCCTGGCATTTCCAGGCCTAGCAGAGATACGGAGACTGGCTTCCCATCGAAGGTAGACTTTCCGGGCTGAGCTGTCTCTGGTCCGGCTTGGGCATACGACAGAACTTGGCTGCCATTGTCATCTGCCTTCAGCCAGAGAGGATGGAGGCAGAGCGACCCAGAGCCTTCCCTGAATCTCAGAGACTTAACCATCTATCGACACACGCCCTGCAGCCAAGAGCTTTCCCAGGCTCCCTCGCTGCTTCAGCACCCGCGGGCAAAGTCCTTGGGGCCTTTTGCAGTTCCGGTGATCTCCGCAGCCGTTTTGCTTGTGCCCAAAACCTCGGCGAGGGGCTCCTGGTCATGCTCGGGGCACAGCAGCTTTGCACAGTCTCGTGTTTAGAGGAACCTCTCAGCTGAGCTTCGCCAAGGGAAGCCTCCAGCTCCATCCGCATCGTCGGACGATCCCAGGTCGGAAGGCTGGCAGGGGACAGACGCGGCTGTCAGTCGAGAGTGGACGATTCTGGGCCCGTCGGTCAGCTTGGCGTGTTTCTGGCAGGGCTGAGGTGCCTTTGGGGTCTGTTATGGGGTGGACCTGCACTGACTCTTACCTGAGAGCAGGAGCACTGAAATCCTTGGGATTGCCATGGACTGTCTGAGTTGTCCCATGCATTTCACTGGCTCTGCTCTAGGGAAGATGACAGGGGTGTTTTTAAAGAGCTTGTGGGTGAGCGCAGGGTTCTGATGACTTTGAAAGTGCATGGATCCTGGCTCTTATTTGTGGATTGTTCATTTCTTGCCCTCCATTTCTATACTGCCTGATAGCTGAAGCTCTCCGGCCAATTTGCAAAGATTAGAACCTTAGAAATACAAGGTATATACATAAAATATACATAAAATAGGCAGAGAAGCACATAGGTACTTGTATTGGCAAACAATTATAAACTTGTAAGGAGGTTACCCCTGTTGGCATCAGGTGGGACTCGTTGGCATGATCGTGCCATCTTTGCAGGGACTCCCCCCAAGAAGGCCCATACCTTGTCCCCTTCCAAGCCTCTCTCGGAGGAAGCAACTGGACTAGCAGCTTAGATGATGAAGACCACGCCTTGCAGAACAGTAATTTTTTTGGAGACCTGTCCGGTCCCTTCTTGTTTCACTGCAGTGCTTGGAAATGCCATCACAGGAGGACTGTAACCAATCCTTCTGACTTGGGACACACCCTTTTTTCGTAGCCACCCCCTCCCCTCCCCTTCAGGCTTGCGACAGACCACCTCACTAGACTCATTGGCCCTCTTAGCAATAATAAATTTGGGGGCCATAATTCTGCTACAAGGAATTTGGGGGCTGCAGTTCTGCTACAAGGGCGGGCTGCAGCTTGTCAGGAACGGTGGGACTGTTCTCTTCAGCCAGCTCGTGTTTGTTTGTGTGGGTTTCGTTTTAAATTTCAGAATAACCCATCAAGATCTGATTTAGCAGCTCAGGTTTCGCACAGCCCAGCTTTCTTCAAGCAGCTCCAGTTTAGCATGCTTCAGTTGAACTCATGGGCCAGTGCATGGAGCACCTTTTCGTCGAACTCTGCTTTCAGACTTAGCAGCTCCAGGTTCGCAAAGATTTGTTTCATTAGCTGGTCAAGTGGAGCATCTTACTTATTTATTATTTATTTGGAACACTTATATGCCGCCCCATTCGCAAAAGCCTCAGGGCGGCTTCCAATACGAATAAATAACTATACAAATTGGATCTTGGGTTCGGCAGAGCTGTGCTTTTTTTTTTTTTGGCAGCTCAAGTACTGGAAAGCTTTTCCAAAAGAGATTGTGGCAGGACTGCATTCTTACAAAGTGCTTTGCTTGGCAGGATTAGCTCTTAAAGCCAGTTTTGGCTGGCTGTGAAAACTTTAGCAGGGTTCCTTGTAAAAGAATAAAACTCTTCCAGTCGGGGATGGTAAATGTGAAGTGATGGCAAAGACTCGGTCTTCATCAACACAGCAGGTTCCTTAATAATGGCTTTTAAAGGTATTCCTGCCCTTCAGTCCCACTTACCTTCACAACATTTGAATGGAGGAAAATAGCACAGGGAATTATAGGTAAGCAAGAGGAGCCCATGAATAACTGAGCGAAATGCCAGCAACTCTTAAAAAGTAATTTATTACCGAAATGTCAGGGTCTTAGTAGAAAATCCCAACTTGCAAATGTTAATTCAGTTCCTGCCAGTTTCTTGGCCTCATTATACATTCTGCTTCAGTGAAAGAAAATGTGTGTACATGCAAATATTTATATATATTTAAAGGTCTTTTTTCTCTGCTGAGTCACAAACTTTTTCTGAGGTTAGCAAGGAACTTAGGGCACAAGAATAAGGCACATTCAGAAAACTGGGAAGGAAAACTCATGTGCAAAGCCAAAAAGCAAGATATCAAAACATTCTTGTCTCTTGCAAAAACAAAACAAACCCTTAAGCATTCCTTTCTAAGATTTATATAGATGGTTGGCTGGTTCGGTTTTGTTTGGGCTACCCTTCATGGACCCCATGCCCTCTGGAAGCTTTGGACCATACCTCCATCATCCCCTGCCAGGATGGCCAATGGCCAGGCTTGATGGAGTTGTAGTCCAGCACCTCCAAAGCTTGTATGCACCATTTAAACGGGGCTGGATGCAGACCATCTGCTTGGAAATTAGGTAGCCCGCCGGTGATTTATGGGCCTGTTCCAAGATAGCAGTCACATCCCAAAACACCCAGCCCTGCTTACGGCTTTCCAAGCGAGAGCTAGACACTGAAAAATCCAGCAATCAAGCCCATGGGGCTCAAGGGAAATGCATAGTTTTATATATGCTAATCTATGTACTTTCTAAAATCAGCCTGTGGATGACCCTAAAGACCCTGGTCTCCTAAGAACATCCTGCTCACCCAGTCTGGAACAAGAGAGGTTTGAATGGGAATGGAGGTTGCAGGCTTGGAGCACCAAAGCACTTAGAAGGCCTGCCCTACACACCACTTCCCATAGAGGAAAGCGCCAGGCCCTGATGATCACTATGGCATTGGATCCCCCTGCAAGGCTCCTGCTGCCAATCATTCGGCCCGGGTTGTTCTATGCAAACACGCCACTCCCCCAGTGTTTACATCCTTTTGCAAATGGGAAGGAGCACAGAAGATGAGGTACTTCTAAGAGAGATAGAGTATCTTCTGTTTTTCCTGAGAGCCAGATACTTCCAGTTCCTACCATCCCCACCAGAAATGCCACTGGTCAAGATACCAAAAAACAAACCTTGGTTCCTGTCCAAACGAAAATGAAATCATTGATGTTGGTTAACTAGAACATGCCCTCCCTGGACACGATGTCCCAGGCAGATTAGGGATGATGAGATTGGAGTGTGACCGCACGAAGAATCACAACACAGGAGCAGAGCAAGTGTTCAGAGAACGAAAACAAAAAACCACACAGAATCAGCCAGTCCCTTCCTTTTCAATGCTATCTGCTAGCCAAAGCTCTCCAGGCAGTTTGCAGAAACTGAAAGCCTTAAAGATACCGTAATATACAGAATATAAAAACAGTTTGTCTCCAAACATATGGAAACCGAGGTGATGCACTGACACCAATGAAAATGCACATCATTCTGCAACTGTTTCGTGGTAGGAACCGTCAAAGGTGACTTGGGCTGGCTCTGGCTTTTTCCTCGCTGCGGAGATGCCATCTATGCCTTGCAGGACGGGAGGCTTGTGCCACGGCTCCTCCGCTGAGCGCCTACTTTTTGGCCTTTGCCGTCCACAGAGAGACTTTGCGCGAGAAACAGGGAGTCTGGCTTTGCTGCCTCTTGGATCCTTTATTGGCACTTGCTGGAAAAGATGGTGCTCAGATACGCATTTCGGGGAGGTGGAAGACTCCTCCTGAATCCCGGATCCTTAATTGCTACGTGTACTTCTGTTTTTATCACTAGACTACTGTAAAGGGATGCATTTCATCACTCAGGGGTCCACATAGACGCTTACATCCTCTTTTTCGCTTTTCCCCACTGCCTCTCAGGAGCGGTATTCCAACCCGTCTAGAAAGGTTCCTTAATATGGTAACCTGGAACTCTGCGGATGACGCTTGGTCTTGTTCCAAAGGACTGGTGTATTCTGCTTATTGCAAAACAGAACTAGGTGCATAGTTTCAGAGGGGAGCGGGTAAATTTTCCTTTTTCAGGAAACGGGGGGACTTATTCTGCTCTCCTGTGTCTGGTCGGAGAGAGGCAGGGAGGTCGCTTGCAAAATGCTTTGGACCTCAGCTCCCCAACTCCCCTGCTGGTATGACCAGGATGCTGGAGTCAGAGACCAGAAGATCCAGAGTTTTCCTTTCTGCCGTCCGGTCTGTCCCAGCGCCGCTCTGGAGTCGCACACTGTTCCTCCATCGGTATGAAAGGCACAGACCCTTCTTTCACCCACATCCTGCCCCCAGCCCTGGCTACGGGAGTTGCAGCAGCTCCAGCTTTTCTGCAAGGAGGTGGAGTGGATGCCCCCCCAGCCCCCCCAGCATCTCCTGATTTGTAGAATAGTCGCAAGAAGAGGCGGGTTGCCTTGAATTCTGGGTCGTGTTAGACCGCCCCCACACAGACCAAAGGATTTGTTTGGGGCGGGGGGGTGGAGGCCGTCAAGCTCAGCCAGGGAAGAGTCGCGTGAAGCTGGCTCAGGTGGGCAGCAGCAGGGATGCTCCCAGGCAGGCCTTCCCTAGAACTGGTGTCCCCCAGGTACAACGCCCAGCATCTGACGGTTGGCTGTGGTTGCTGGGGCTGATGGGAGTTGTAGCTGAAACATCCAGAAGCCACCCAGTTGCCAAAGGATGGCCTGGTCCTTCCACATTAAGAGAAGCACTTCTCTGTGCCGGAATGTGCAAAGTGTACCAAGAAATGTGGGTGGTGCTGAGCAGAGAAATGGGACCCTTTGTGGTGGGGGGAGGGGGGGGAGAGAGCCAGTGGCAAGAGGAAGCCCTCCACCCTGCAGAGAGAAGCGTGGAGGGATCCCCATGGCCACGTGTTTGGAGTTTCCTGAGATTGTCCAGGATGCCCAACCAAAAAGCCGGTATACTCCCGACCGTGGGGAAGCGAAAGGGAGCAGAATAACGCTGTTAGAGGGAGCATTGAGGATGGTGAAGCTGGAACATGCCCTCCCTGGACATGATGTCCCAGGCGGATTAGGGATGATGGGATTGGAGTGTCACCGCACCAAGAGTCGCAACACAGGAGCAGAGCAAGTGTCAGAGAACGAAAACAAAAAACCACACAGAATCAGCCAGTCCCTTCCTTTTCAATGCTATCTGCTAGCCCAAGCTCTCCAGGCAGTTTGCAGAACCTGAAAAACTTAAAGATAGCATAATATACAGCATATAAAAACAGTTTGTCTCCAAACATATGGAAACCGAGGTGATGCACTGACACCAATGGAAATGCACAGCATTCTGCAACTGTTTCGTGGTAGGAACCGTCACAGGTGCCCTTGGGCCGGCTCTGGCTTTTTCCTCGCTGCGGAGATGCCATCTATGCATTGCAGGACGGGAGGCTTGTGCCACGGCTCCTCCGCTGAGCGCCTGGTTTTTGTGCCTTTGCCGTCCACAGAGAGCCTTTGCGCGAGAAACAGGGAGCCTGGCTTTGCTGCCGCTTGGATCCTTTATTGGCACTTGCTGGAAAAGAGGGTGCTCAGATACGCATTTCGGTGAGGTGGAAGAGTCCTCCTGAATCCCGGATCCTTAATTGCTACATGTACTTCTGTTTTTATCACTAGACTACTGTAAAGGGATGCATTTCATCACTCAGGGGTCCACAAAGACCGTTACGTCCTCTTTTTTGCTTTTCCTGAATCCCTCTCGAGAGCGGTATTCCAGCCGGTCTAGAAAAGTTCCTTAATATGGCAACCTGGAACCCTGCGGATGACGCTTGGTCTTGTTCCCAAGGACTGGTGTATTCTGCTTCTTGCAAAACAGAACTAGGTTCATAGTTGTGGAGGCGAGAAGGTAAATTTTCCTTTTTGAGGAAATGGGGGGATTTATTCTGCTCTCCTGTGCCTGGTCGGAGAGAGGCAGGGAGGTCGCTTGCAAAATGCTTTGGACACCAGCTCCCCAACTCCCCTGCTGGTATGACCAGGATGCTGGAGTCAGAGACCAGAAGATCCAGGGTTTTCCTTCCGGCCGTCTTGTCTGTCCCAGTTCCACTCTGGAAAGTCGCACACCGTTCTTCCATCGGTATGAAAGGCACAGACCCTCCTTTCACCCACATCCCGCCCCCAGCCCCAGCTACGGGAGTTGCAGCAGCTCCAGCCTTTCTGCAAGGAGGTGGAGTGGATGCCCCCCCCCCAGCCATCTCCTGATTTGTAGAATAGTCACAAGAAGAGGCGGGTTGCCTTGACTTCAGGGTCCTGTTAGACCGCCCCCGCCCAGACCAAAAGATTTGTTCGGGGGGGGTGGAGGCCGTCAAGCTCAGCCAGGGAAGAGTCGCGTGAAGCTGGCTCAGGTGGGCAGCAGCAAGGATGCTCCCAGGCAGGCCTTCCCTGAACTGGTGTCCTCCAGGTACAACGCCCAGCAACTGACGGTTGGCTGTGGTGGCTGGGGCTGATGGGAGTTGTAGCTGAAACATCCAGAAGCCACCCAGTTGCCAAAGGATGGCCTGGTCCTCCCACATTAAGAGAAGCACTTTTCTGTGCCGGAATGTGCAAAGTGTACCAAGAAATGTGGGTGGTGCTGAGCAGAGAAATGGGACCCTTTGTGGTGGGGGGAGGAGGGGAGGGAGAGAGGCAGTGGCAAGAGGAAGCCCTCCACCCTGCAGAGAGAAGCGTGGAGGGATCCCCGTGGCCGCATGTTCTGAGTTTCCCGAGATTGTCCGTGATGCCCAACCAAAAAGCGGGTATACTCCCTGTTATATCCCAAAGGACGCCTTGTCAGTCCTTGGCAAGCAGACCACAAGACCAGAGTGGAGAGGAGGAGAAGCTCCTTTATCTTACCTGCGCAGGGACCAACACTTTACTAAAGTGCGGTCCCTATGTATGGTATTAGAAGACTTTTTATGGCATTTCTTATCTCTGGAAAAGTACTAACGAATGTCTTCGGCACGTCTCTTGCCACAGTTTCTGCTGACCACTCCTAATCGTGCTGGTATCTGGGTCTTGCAGGCCCCTTAGTCATGTTATCTTCCCTGCCTGACCTTGCGCTTGGGCTTCTTGTGCTTCACCACCTTGTTCCTTTTTTTTTTTTTTTTTTTTGTTTCACATGGTCATGCTTGCGTAACTCTGAGAGGGTCGGGGTATACCCTGTACCTTTCAGATAAAGTAGATACCAAGTAGGAGTGCCGTGCACAGGGGTGGGCTAGGTTCAATAAGCGATAAGCGGGTATTCTGCGCTGCTAGCTGGCCTAGTTCACTCCCGACCGTGAGGAAGCGAAAAGGGGCAGAATAACGCTGTTAGAGGGAGCATTGATGATGTTTAAGCTGGAACATGCCCTCCCTGGACCTGATGTCCCAGGCGGATTAGGGATGATGGGATTGGAGTGTGACCTCACCATGAGTCGCAACACAGGAGCAGAGCAAGTGTCCAGAGAACAAAAACAAAAACCACACAGAATCAGCCAGTCCCTTCCTTTTCAATGCTATCTGCTAGCCAAGGCTCTCCAGGCAGTTTGCAGAAACTGAAAGCCTTAAAGATACCGTAATATACAGAACATACAAACAGTTTGTCTCCAAACATGTGGAAACCGAGGTGATGCACTGACACCAATGGAAATGCACATCATTCTGCAACTGTTTCGTGGTAGGAACCGTCACAGGTGCCCTTGGGCTGGCTCTGGCTTTTTCCTCGCTGCGGAGATGCCATCTATGCATTGCAGGACGGGAGGCTTGTGCCACGGCTCCTCCGCTGAGCGCCTGGTTTTGTGCCTTTGCCGTCCACAGAGAGCCTTTGCGCGAGAAACAGGGAGCCTGGCTTTGCTGCCGCTTGGATCCTTTGTTGGCGCTTGCTGGAAAAGATGGTGCTCAGATACGCATTTCGGGGAGGTGGAAGAGTCTTCCTGAATCCCGGCTCCTTAATTGCTACATGTAATTCTGTTTTTATCACTAGACTGCTGTAAAAGGATGCATTTCATCACTCAGGGGTCCACATACACGGTTACATCCTCTTTTTTGCTTTTCCCGACTGCCTCTCGGGAGCAGTATTCCAGCCCGTCTAGAAAGGTTCCTTAATATGGCAACCTGGAACCCTGCGGATGACGCTTGGTCTTGTTCCCAAGGACTGGTGTATTCTGCTTCTTGCAGAACAGAACTAGGTGCATAGTTGTGGAGGCGAGCAGGTAAATTTTCCTTTTTCAGGAAACGGGGGGATTTATTCTGCTCTCCTGTGTCTGGTCAGAGAGGCAGGGAGGTTGCTTGCAAATTGCTTTGGACCTCGGCTCCCCAACTCCTTTGCTGGTATGACCAGGATGCTGGAGTCAGAGACCAGAAGATCCAGCGTTTTCCTTTCTGCCGTCTTGTCTGTCCCAGTTCCGCTCTGGAAAGTCGCACACCGTTCTTCCATCGGTATGAAAGGCACAGACCCTTCTCTCACCCACATCCCGCCCCAGGCCCCAGCTACGGGAGTTGCAGCAGCTCCAGCCTTTCTGCAAGGAGGTGGAGTGGATGCCCCCCCAGCCACCCCAGCATCTCCTGATTTGTAGAATAGTCGCAAGAAGAGGCGGGTTGCCTTGACTTCTGGGTCGTGTTAGACCACCCCCACCCAAACCAAAAGATTTGTTCGGGGCGGGAGGGTGGGGTGGAGGTTCTCAAGCTCAGCCAGGGAAGAGTCGCATGAAGCTGGCTCAGGTGGGCAGCAGCAAGGATGCTCCCAGGCAGGCCGTCCTGAAGTGGTGTCCTCCGGGCAGAACGCCCAGCAACTGATGGTTGGCTGTGGTGGCTGGGGCTGATGGGAGTTGTAGCTGAAACATCCGGAAGCCACCCAGTTGCCAAAGGATGGCCTGGTCCTTCCACATTAAGAGAAGCACTTTTCTGTGCTGGAACGTGCAAAGTGTACCAAGAAATGTGGGTGGTGCAGAGCAGAGAAATGGGATCCTTTGTGGTGGGGGGAGGAGGGGGGGGGAGAGAGGCAGTGGCAAGAGGAAGCCCTCCACCCTGCAGAGAGAAGCATGGAGGGATCCCCGTGGCCGCGTGTTCTGAGTTTCCCGAGATTGTCCGGGATGCCCAACCAAAAAGCGGGTATACTCCCGACCGTGTGGAAACGAAAGGGAGCAGAATAACGCTGTTAGAGGGAGCATTGAGGATGGTGAAGCTGGAACTTGCCCTCCCTGGACATGATGTCCCAGGCGGATTAGGGATGATGGGATTGGAGTGTCACCGCACCAAGAGTCGCAACACAGGAGCAGAGCAAGTGTCAGAGAACAAAAACAAAAAACCGCACAGAATCAGCCAGTCCCTTCCTTTTCAATGCTATCTGCTAGCCAAAGCTCTCCAGGCAGTTTGCAGAAACTGAAAGCCTTAAAGATACCGTAATATACAGCATATAAAAACAGTTTGTCTCCAAACATGTGGAAACCGGGGTGATGCACTGACACCACTGAAAATGCACATCATTCTGCAACTGTTCCGTGGTAGGAACCGTCAAAGGTGCCCTTGGGCCGGCTCTGGCTTTTTCCTCGCTGCGGAGGTGCCATCTATGCATTGCAGGACGGGAGGCTTGTGCCACGGCTCCTCCGCTGAGCGCCTGGTTTTGGGCCTTTGCCTTCCGCAGAGAGCCTTTGCGCGAGAAACAGGGAGCCTGGCTTTGCTGCCGCTTGGATCCTTTATTGGCACTTGCTGGAAAAGATGGTGCTCAGATACGCATTTCGGGGAGGTGGAAGAGTCCTCCTGAATCCCGGATCCTTAATTGCTACATGTCATTCTGTTTTTATCACTAGACTGCTGCAAAAGGATGCATTTCATCACTCAGGGGTCCACACAGATGGTTACATCCTCTTTTTGGCTTTTCCCCACTGCCTCTCGGGAGCAGTATTCCAGCCCGTCCAGAAAGGTTCCTTAATATGGTAACCTGGAACCCTGCAGATGACGCTTGCTCTTGTTCCAAAGGACTGGTGTATTCTGCTTCTTGCAAAGCAGAACTAGGCGCATAGTTTCGGGGGCAAGCAGGTAATGTTTTCCTTTTTCAGGAAACGGGGGGATTTATTCTGCTCCTGTGTCTGGTCGGAGGGAGGCAGGGAGCTGGCTTGCAAAATGCCCTGGACACCAGCTCCCTAACTCCCCTGCTGGTATGACCAGGATGCTGGAGTCAGAGACCAGAAGATCCAGGGTTTTCCTTCCGGCCGTTTGGTCTGTCCCAGTGCCACTCTGGAAAGTCGCACACCGTTCTTCCATCGGTATGAAAGGCACAGATCCTTCTCTCACCCACATCCCGCCCACAGCCCCAGCTACGGGAGTTGCCGCAGGTCCAGCCTTTCTGCCAGGAGGTGGATTGGATGCCCCCCCAGCCCCCCCAGCATCTCCTGATTTGTAGAACAGTCGCAAGAAGAGGCGGGTTGCCTTGACTTCTGGGTTGTGTTAGACCGCCCCCCCCCCGCCCCAGACCAAAAGATTTGTTCGGGGGGGTGGGGGGTGGAGGCTGTCGAGCTCAGCCAGGGAGGAGTCGCGTGAAGCTGGCTCAGGTGGGCAGCAGCCAGGATGCACCCAGGCAGGCCTTCCTGGAACAGGTGTCCTCCAGGTACAACACCCAGCAACTGACGGTTGGCTGTGGTGGCTGGGGCTGATGGGAGTTGTAGCTGAAACATCCAGAAGCCACCCTGTTGCCAAAGGATGGCCTGGGCCTTCCACATTAAGAGAAGCACTTTTCTGTGCCGGAATGTGCAAAGTGTACCAAGAAATGTGGGTGGTGCTGAGCAGAGAAATGGGACCCTTTGTGGTGGTGGGGGGGGGAGAGAGGCAGTGGCAAGAGGAAGCCCTCCACCCTGCAGAGAGAAGCGTGGATGGATCCCCGTGGCCGCGTGTTCTGAGTTTCCTGAGATGGTCCGGGATGCCCAACCAAAAAGCCGGTATACTCCCGACCGTGGGGAAGCGAAAAGGGGCAGAATAACGCTGTTAGATATAGCATTTATTATATATATATATAATATATATACATAAAAATATTTTGTACATTAAATAGAATGAATCCTACTCTCATTCTTAGTGTGATTTGGTTGGATACCCTCTCCTTGCCCCCAACAACCCTAACCCTGAAAGCCCCCAGTAGCCAAACCGGGCGGCAGGACAGGGCAGGGCAGGGCAGGAAGCAGTGCATGGTCCAAGATCGCGCCAATCCATTGCCCCCAAATGGCTCGTGCCACCGCCCCGCCTAGGAGGGCAAAGCGCGCATCTCCAGCCTTGCCGCCCCTTCCGGCCTGCAAGACGACCCAGTTAGCCAACGGTTATTCTTCGAAAACCGAAAGCAACAGGCTGCGACGGTTGCCGTCTAGCCGGCTTAGAATGAATCTGTTCCATGCTGCAAGCATCCCCGCCTCCCACACATGCCAGCGCTTCGCGAGCACACAGTTTACGGCATTCCTTGCCGAAAAGAGCAATTCCGGGCACGTGCACCCATCTCTGAAGAGAGCTTCCCATTGGGTAGGAGCTAATGCTTTTTAAAATTATCCCTGGCACTGCATTCTGTCTCTCCTCCCATGAAGGCAAGAGAAGATTCCAGGAATTCACATGGCTCAAACCCATCCCGTTTTCACAAGCCCACAAAGCACTCCAGTGCCCCGGTTTCAGGGCAAATGCTGTTGCCCGGCTAAAACCAGTTACGATGCTGCGTACCGCTGCCCCTGATCTGTGGGGGTTAGGGTTGGGCGTCCCCTTCTATTCTTTGTTTCCAGAAAGCAGATTAAGAAACCTTCAAAACACAGCTAAAAGGTGTCCCTCTGATAAAAAGGCACTGGGGCTGCAGAAAAAATATTCCAAGCCACTGTGCAGCAAAAACTGAAAATAGGGCTGGGGGGGGGGGGTGGATGGGAAATCACCTGGGCAAGGGCGAAAGCAAAGAGCTATGCAGGAGTTCAGGAGATGACTTGGCAACACCGGGAAAAACTTCGCTTTCAAGGCAGCTTAAAATTCTGCGGAAGCTAATGGCCCCTTGGCTTCATTCCCTTCCAATACAGGCCGATCGCTCCCATCTCAAAGCATTTGCCAGCACTGGAGTGAAAACAGGAGAGCGGCCAGTGCTCCCAGATCAGCCAGCAATGGCACACATTGCCTCTCCTGGTATCATTTCCATGCAGGACCTTGTTCTGGAGCAAAAGCCGCGTGCGACCTGTCCCTGGGGTTCTGGGGACACGGCCAGTGGCCGAAGAGGGTCAGCTCCACAAGAGAAAAACCAACAGCGCTTCTTTCCAGCCATGGCACAGGACTGAGGAACTCCCTGCCTCTCCCTTTCAAAGAAAGAGGCTTTGTTCACATTTTGCTGTGGGAGAGGCCACGTCTACAGAAGTAGACACAGCCCGCACGGTCGAAGGCCACAGGGTGGCCTTCTTAAGCAGCCAGCATGGGAGTCCCCCAGGCCGCTAAAAGGAGCAGAGCCGGGGGGCATGAGTTAATAAACTCGCGGGCCGGCTTGTTTTCCCAGTGGCCCAGCCTTCATCCCAAGCAGTTCACCACTCTGTATTTTCTGGCCTCCCTGGAAGATTCTTTCCTGAGGGAACTAAGCGAAGCGATAAGCGTCCCTGTCAAAACTAGGCCAACTTCTCCAGCCAGTATCACGGGAATCCCATGATTCCCAAGGGGCAGATGGGCCTCACTGTGCCACGTGGGGAAAGGTGCCGAAGCCACAAGGGGGAGGAACCGGAACTGGGACTTTAGTGGGGCAGCCCCTCTTTTTATTCACTTTTTGACTCCTGGGCTTGTGGGAGAGGGAGCACCCTCACACCTGGCCTAGGGCCTCTCACCTGGAGGAGGAATTATGAGTGCACGGGGAAAGACCAACGGATGAGAATGGAAAGGCCGGGCCTGTGGCAGGGAGGGCGCTCAGGAGATGCAGCGGAACTCAGGCTCGGGGGCAGTCATACTGTCCGGGGACACTGCGCAGGGGCCCGTCTCTGGCAGCTCCTCCTCAGGGGATGGACGCGGGGGTCCTCCCCCGGCGAAGCCTGGCACAGGGCAGTCTCTGTTTGGTGTGGCTGGGCTAGCCGAGCCCCCCGAGAGCTCTGGGGCAGCCCCAGGTGCAGGTTGAAGCGGGGCGGCGGCAGAAGACAACACGGTATCTGTCGCAAGACGCTGAGAAGTGCAAGTGGCCCCCGAGGGGCTCGGAGGAGACGGGGCAACCTGCCCGCTGATCGAGCTTCGGGTGAACGAACCGAAAGGGTCCACCAGGTTCTCTGGGCCCCGGGTATTCGCCACTTGCAGGGCGATGTCTGGGTCCACAAAGGAGCCACCCAAGTTGGACAGGAAGGTGGCCTCTGTGATCACAGCCGCCGTATCGGCCACCCAGCTCAAGTCAGTCGACAGGGAGTTGACGGCGGCGACGGTGGCGGCGGCGACGATCGCGGCCGTTTCATCCTCGGAGCCATCGTCCCCGTCAGCATCCGCGTGGGGCTCCCGGCCAGCCTGGCTGGTGGGGCGAAGGGTCGTGTTGTTGTTGAGGTTGTCCTGAAGGGCACTTTGGGCCCCGAACTGCTGGTTGTGGAGGAGCAGCTCTTGGATCCGGATCTGATGCAGGATGGCCGGCAGCTCGTAGTGGTGGAAGAAGTAGATCATGGAATGCTGCGGGAGAAGCATAAAAATGCTTTAATAAAATAAATATTAATAAAATATTAATAATAAAAATATTAATAAAATAAATAAATAAGCACGACGGGGAAAGCTGAGTGTTGGCCGCGGTTGCTTGCCTTCCTGCAACACGCCCCGGCAAGAAGGAAAAGGACAGCCGCACAGGAGGGGACAGGTGGGGACAGGTGCGGCAGACCCAGCGGCCTACCTGAATGAAAAGCCACGAGGTGACCAGGGCCAAGCTGCTGTACTGCCCGTTGAAGCGGTAATGGTAGGCGTAGAAGGCGAAGTGGTACAAGTAGAAGAACCTGCGAGACACAGAAGGGCAGTTTTCACAAACACGGGGGCCGAGGCATCAGCTGGCTGCCCATCTCTTCTTGCCACTGCTGCCTCCCGCCGAGAGGCAGGGGTGCATCTGCCTGTACTTCCGGTCTTTCCTGACTCATGCCAGAAGCATCGGAGCTAAAATAAGGCGTGTCGTAGAACAAGAAATTTAAAACATAAAATTACAGCATGCACAGGTTAAGCCCAGGTAAGCTAGCAGCATTAGTTGCGCTGTCAGGCTGCCTTAAGGTCCTTTGACATGCTCCGGTCGGGCACGAAGGGCAGGTACGTGCGTGCGTGCTGCCGTCTGCACATCACCACAATCACAAAGGCCAGCAGCCACCGAAAAGCTACTAGTCTGAAAGTGGAACAAGCTAGCTGGGAATAAATGAACTCATCTGAGGGGACAGGCAAGTCCCCACGACTGCAGCCAGGCCAAAGATGTTAAAAGGGAGCAGCTGGCCGTGCAAACGAGGCTGCTGATGAGGGCTGTCCAGCGGGGAGAGGTCATGGGGTATAATGGTTAGCACACTGGTCCAGGACTCAGCAGCCCCATGAAATGCCCTGGCTGACTTCGAACGATTCCCAGGCTCGGAGGGAGGCTCCCTGCCCTCGATGCGCTGCTGTCCAGATGTGCAGGGCCATCCCTCTCAAGCCCGACACATCTGGAGACCCCAGGAAGGCAAGTGCAAGCAGGCCTGGGGAAGGCCGTCCGACGGGGCTCCCGGCCAAAGGCCGCTTTGTGTCTCCAGACCTCAGCCAGTGCCGCTTGCTGGTGTGGGTGTGGCAGCAGATGGCGTCGTACTGGTCGGCCAGCCAGACGATGAGGATGATGTAGAAGGCCGTGGTGGTGTCGTTGAAGAACTCGGACATGATCGCTTCCATGCCTGGCAAGGAACGGGACAAAAAGTCAGAAAGACCGACGGGCTCGGCGTCGGCAGGACGCACGCTCTGCCGTCGGGCGGCACACGGGGGGAGCCTCCCGTGGGGAATGGCCTCTCTTTGAGCCACTTGGAGGAGCATGTGCAGCTTAACCATGAACTGAATCGCCGCCCTGGGAGCTGCGGGCGTCCAGGGCGGGGCTCCGTACCTACTAAAGCCAAGATGACTGTCAGCAAGGGGGCCGCGGGGAAAGCGATCGTCATGTTCATTTCCAGCATCTGCAGCAGGTCCACTGGAAGGGAGAAAGCGGCAAAGCTGAAGACGACGGGGGCTCTGGGTGCGGCCCTTCACCCCCCGTGAAAAGCCTCCCTGGCCCAAAGGCCAGCAAGGAGCTGCTTGGAGAAGGCCCGACTATGGAAGTGGACAAAGGGAGCAACTCGTTTTCTGACTCCGCCTGAGCCAAGGAAGGCATGAGAGGTACAGCACTTCCAAATGATGCCTGTGCCGTCTAAATGCACCCTTCCTTTATATGCAGGGACCCACAAAGAGCAGCTATATTGCATGCATATTCCTCTACGGCAGGTGCAGGAGTCCCGGGAAAGAATTTCTGCTGCCCTTTCTTGGGAGGAATATCTGACAGGATTTTGCCTGCACAAAACGTGCAAAGGACTTGAAGCTTCCACTGCGGCAGCTGCTGAAAAAGATTCATTGCAGCCGGAGTCCTAAAAATTATCGCAGTAAAGCTGTGCTCATGGAATGGATCGGATGGTTTTATTTTTCTGTACTGTTTCTTTGCAGGCGAAAGGGTGAAAGGGGGCCTGGGGAACTCCCACCCAATTGTACAAATAAAAAAGTAGCTTGGGATCAGCTACTTCAAGCAAAACGCTCAGGGGTCCATAAAACAGCAACTCAGTGCCCAGCCGTCAGTACGGCAGATTTCTCTGGATTCCAACTCTTAGGACTTGATCGAAACCTCTGCTCAGGCTCCGGAAGAGTGGATGTGCTTTTTTTTTTTTGGTCAGACTGCCCAGACTCCGAATTCCCTCAAGTCCAAGCTCATCTGAACAGCAGAAATGCCAGCCAGGCAGGGGAATGCTTACCGATAAAGATGAAGATCTGGTGATGTGAGTATCGCAGCAACATGGAGACAGAGAGCGTCTGCAATGAGAAGGGTGAATAAGCATCAGAGTCTGCCTGTCTGCCCCCCCTGCACCCATTTATTTAATTTTAATTTTAATTTTTATATTTTTTTAATTTTATATATATAATATATAAATTTTAATTTAATATTTATATTTTTAATTTGTATTATAATTATTTTAACTTAATGATGTGAGCCGCCCCGAGGCTTCGGCGAATGGGGCGGCATAAAAATGTTTTAATAAATAAAAAATAAATTTAGGGCAGCCCCCCCCCCGCCTCCAACTTGACATCCTGAGAAGCATTCATCCCTTGCCACAAATTAAAACGGAAGGTATGGCTCATTGAAGCTGCCCAGAAGTTTGTTCTGAGATTGTTGAAGAGGAGGAATGATGCACCCACTGCGGAGCACCGCTCTCCCACCTTTATTTCTCTGTGAAAATTATCATCCTGAACGTGTCTGGAGCAGAGATGGCCCTGTGTACAGAAGAGCCCAGGAAACTATGGAAAATCCACGTGTAAACTCGCCATGCAGTTCCTGGCAAAAACCCAACCTGCCAACTGGCTGAATGCAAAGATGCAGGCTGGTCAGTGGACACTCGCCTATGGAGAGCAAGACACTGGCTCCAGGCGACCAGAAGAGAAGGACGTCCCTTCCAGCAGCAGTAGCTTCCACCTCTGCTAGCCCACATGCCTGTTTGGTTGACGCCACAGTACTTGGAAAGTGGCCAGAGGTGGTGCAGCTGTTTGGGGACACACAACTGGGCTGCAGCAGATGGGGGAACAGCTGAAGGGAGACGGGAGGCCGCAGCATTGAACTCGCACCCTGCTGCCTGACCTGTATTGGGATGTCAAGCTAATTTAACTGGGAATAGTCGGGATTTGGGTAAAGCTACCGTGAGAAGGAGCACGACTGCATGGCATCTCGCAACGTGTGGCAAAAGGACAGAAACACTCACAAAGATCACCATGATGACGAAGGCCGCCAGGTACGACGTTCTGGCCATCCACATGCTGATGAAGCGGTAGTGTTCGCCGGACACCACGTTGCGAAGGAACCCTGGCGAGGGGGGGAAGGTGGGAGCACAAGAGAAGGGGAAGCTGGTTCACGCCTGGGTTGCCGCAACCCACACAAGCGGCTCCACAAAAAGAGGCAAAAGCGAAAGCCGTCCAGAGAGACTATGGCTAACTGGAAGGCTTATAATCGAATGAATAAATAAATGCATATATAAAATCAGCAGCAGCCCAAAGGAAAGTCTACCATGAGATCAGCCTGTCAGCCGAGGCACAGGCCGAGCTGGCCCATCGGTGGCCTGTCCCCAGAATGCTTAGCGTTTTTAGAGTGGTCAGATTTTGGCACCCAGAAAAGCGACGTTCTGCCACCCGTCCGACCTTATGTCCAGACCCCGCGTTCACCTTTGTTTTCCTCGTTTTCGGCCAAGGCCTTCACGCTGGACATGAGGATGTCGTCGTAACCGAGGAACTCATCCAGCAAAAAACGACTGAACCTGTCCCCAAAGCACTGGTCCCGGGTGGGATCTGGTGAGAGGATGGGAGAAGGGTGAATCCCTAGCAGGTGGATGCACGGAATACTCATGAACATTCCAGCTGCTGAAGGAGAAAGGACTGGTGGCTGCAGAGGAACCGGAGGGTGATCTGGCTGGGAGCAGGAAGACTATGCATGGCTCAGAGACAGGAGGAGCTGGGGCAGAAAACCTTATCGGAAGGCCATGACTCCCAGGGGCCACTTTGATTGATGGGAGGGAGAGGCGGTGGCCACTTCCTTCGGCTGCATACAGCCCTGCTGCTGTTTTTATTCCCCAGCTTCCCAGCCCCTGCAGCTGCTCCCGTCCTTCCGGTGACTGACTCTGTCTCCAATGTCCAACCCCACATCCCCTGAGCCCAAGGCAGCCGCCGACCGACCGACCGACCGACAACGCTCCGAGAAACACACTTACCCAGTGTGACCACCATGACGGGGATGCTGAGGCGCTGGCGGGTGCTCTGTGATAAGCGCAGGAACCCGTACTCAAAGGAATACTCCACAATGTACTCGTCCTGTGGCCAGACTGCAAAAGGAAGAAGAGGAAAGTTGGCTCAGAAGACCAGAGGGGGTGCATCCAGGCAGAGGCAGAGTGCCCCCAAGAGGGCTAGGGCTCGGACACTCGGCTCCGGCCTCCTTCAGGACAGGGAAGGAACGGAGAAGGAACCCAGCTGGTTTCAGCTCAAGCCGAGACCAATCAGCCGTTCTGAAGGCACCACCGAGAGTGTGTTTCGGCTTCACCGGCATACAGCAGGAGCCGGTCCTTTGGCGAATCCTGTCTCACTGGATTCTCACACAGCCTCTTTTGGGCTGTTCTTGTTAGCTGAACCAGGCCTGCCGAACTGCTGCTGTCAGATCACAAGCTCAGATCCCAAATCGGGGTTGGTTTAACACAGGGTGGGTCCACAGTGTCCATCACCCTTCGCCACTGGCGATGCTGGCTGGGAATGATGGGCACGACAGGCCATAACCTGCCCATTCCCTGTTTAGAGGTGAAGCAGAAACAAGCAGGTCCAGGGCATGGCCTTGTTCACAGTAAGCCAGGATCCTCTCAAACTCTGCGCTGCTGGGCGAACAGAGGAACGCAGTGTCTCAGCAGAGAAAGGAAGGATGTGCTCTTCCCAGGAGAGCATTCCTTTCTCTGCAAGGATGAAAACGGACCGCCTCTTCTGCAATCAAGTCGTAAAAACTCTTTGTAAGGTAAACAGGTCACTTTTGAAGGAAGAACCCTGCCAAGGCAACGTCTGAGCAACAATAGTCTGAGAATTAAAGACAGGCACAGTAATAGAAAAATTCTAAAAAATATATAAACAGCAACAACGACACATAAGAGAAACGCCTACCGCGCTCCAGAGCAGCTACAAGCCAGTCCAATAAAACTCAAACGGGGCAGGCAAGAGTTTAAAACTTTCTTAACTGTCTGCAGTGAGGAAGTTGGGTGGACCCTGAGGAGCAAAGCATTCCTGTGGGGCCTTGAGTGAAAAGCCCTTCCACCTACCTAGCCAGCTTCAAAAGGTGGGCAAGTGAGAAGGGTAGATGTTAAAGTGCAGGCAGGCTGATAGGAGTCGACCCCGCTCCTCGCACAATTTGGCCCAGTCTGGTTACAGCACAGGGCACGACGTTACGCTATGGGAGTTTCAAGAGAAAAGTGGCCTGCAGCTCCCAGCACGCCCCAGCATTCTGAGTAGCGCGCTATTTTTCTGCCTAAACTGTTTAAGGTTGTGCCCTTAGAAGGTCAAATTTGACACCAGGCAGGGGTTCTTCTCAGCAGGGCCCCACCACAACTCCTTTCGGAGTGACAGGAAGTTCACTTTCCCATGAGGAAGTGCACCCCTTCCCAAGGAGAGCCTCACCAGCCAACCGGTTTGCAGAGGAGAGATTAAAGAAAGGACCCGGTTAACGGCAAAAGGAAAACACAGAAGATATGAAGGGGAGGAGGAAGCGAAGTCAAGGAATGGAAAGTTCAGGAGAGCATCGTCGTGTCTTTACCTGCTTTGGCTAGCATCTCTAAGCTGGACACAGGCTCACTGAGAGGCTGCATACCTTTAGAAGCCGCCGGCTCGCCACTGAAGGAGAACTCCTGGCTTTCGTTGGGGGACAGCACCTTGGCGCCACTCAGCCGAGAAGGCTTGGCAAAAATGTTGGGCTCGACGGCCAGGTCGAACTGTCGGCAGGTGAAGGAAGACGGGGGGCAGAGGGGGAGAGAGACAGACACAGACACACCCGAAGGAATTTGAATGGATATGAAGAGAGAGCTTGCATCCAACTTATTCCACAGCACAGCTGCTGGCTCTCAGCAGGTGGCCCGAGTCAAAAATGCGGGGGCTGACTTGCCCACCTGAGGGCCACTGGAGAAGCAGAAGGCAGCAGAGCAGCAGCATCCAAGGACAGGGAGCTGCAAACGGCCCTGAAAGGCACCTGCTATCAGCTGCTTGTCCATCTGACTGCAAACCCACATTGCCCACTTCCGTCTCCCTCCAGCCGCCCCTCTCCTCTCAGCAAGCCGGCCGCGATGCGACTGGCCACCTCCCCGGTGGAAGCCTTCTGCGGGCTGAGGCCGGGAATGATGCCTCAGCTTCCCAAACATGCCTGCAGGTTCCAAACGCCTGCCAAAGAATTAGTTCGTCTAACTGGGCATCCCAGAAGGGATGGGTTTAGCAGCAGGTTTTAATGAAGTTTGCTTCCCTTCCTGGTCATCTGCCGCTGCACTGCTCTCGTTGGGGAAAAAAAGCTGCAGATGTAAGAATGCAAACAAGTTTTGCAATGTGGAACAGGACAGCCTGTGAGCAACTGGGGCCGGAACGGACGGCACACAAGCAAGGGCCGGAACAGTCTGAGCACAGCACCGCAAAGTCCTCGGCCAAGGTCAGACTGAGAGAGACAAGGCACCGTCTCTGCCATGGTGCACCCCCACAGCCTTGTGCCGGAGGACCCTGCTCCCCTGCAAGGGGGGTGCCGACCCACTGAGAGGAGGGGGAGGCACACACCTGTGTTCCTGGGCCTACGCATCCCCGTCCCCAACCTCCTACTGGACAGACTGCAGAAATACCTGCTGGTGGCAAAGCTGCAATCGCTTGGACACTTTTAAATTAATTAAAGCCACTTTAAAATACTGTAACCCCAAAGGACTCTCACTTGCGGTCCCTTCTTGCCTACACGAGCAGGAGTCTCCTTTCCAGAGTCTTCCTGCTGCGGCACTTTCATATGTATGGACAGATGCCTCCTCTTTTCTCGGCATCTTTTAGCAAATTTACTACTGAAGCCCTGTCCCTTATATGGCCAGAATGGCACAAAAGGGAGTTATTAGGGGGGCAGGGGGACTGGGGACCCACGGCAAGCAGGGCTGTGAACAGTTCTTCAGAGGATGGGGAGGGGGGCCCTAAAGGACAGGCAAGAGACCACAAAAGCTGTATGTGGAGAGTGCGAGTTTATATTTTTTGGCACCAGGTCAAAACCTTGCCATTTAATCGCTATGTGACAAAACTAGCATTTTAATCGTTTTGAACAGCCGCTTTGACTTTGTCTTTTATGTAAACTTGCACAGAACGATGTTATTTATATATGTGATTTTACTGTATTTCAATTTTGTGGATTACAAGCCGTCCTGAGATGCCAAGGCATGAGGGGTGGCATACACAAGTTTTAAATAAATAAATGTTCAGTGACCACAGAATGCTGGCTGACTTTTGGTGGGAGAGAAGGGCAGGAATGCAATGGAATATCCAGAAAGGGCCTGGCTGGCTGGCTTCCCGAACAGGAGCGCTTGTTTCATGGCAGACTCCATTCGTTAAGTCCCATAGGCCTAATAACAGGGTCAACAGACATTAATAATGTTTTGGTGCCGTAGATACTGGCAGTTAAGAGTAGCACTTCACTTCCTTGTTTAATCCCCTTTCTGGATTACCCTCACGAGAAAGCATAAAAGGGCATTTGTTGAGAAAACTAAATGGAATTAAGAAGCAATTGAGTTCAGTCAGTCCACTGCCTCTGATGGGGCAGGCTGTTCAGGCGCCGACTTTTGCTCACACAACTCAAGCTGTTAATTTGGTAGCAAACCCTTAACGGACTTTGCTCTTGTTCACTGCCATGGGACAGGGATTTAGAAAATGATTTAAAGAGGATGGATTTGTTTACGCTGGCTGCCCAGAGCTTGGAAGAAACAACGGAAACAACAAAGTGAATCCATCAACCCGCAAATGGTGAAATCCTTCACACCAACAGAAACACTGGCCCCCACACCCAGGGCGGGGGGATGGACTCTAGCCAAGTCGTGAGCTAGAGGGGCAAACCAGAAAAAGAATCCATCCTTCTGCAATTGAAGCCCACTTACACCTGCCTAGGCTAGGGAGGCAGGATTTAATTCATGACACCACAGGCGTGTTGGGTGTGTACTTGTGTGTATTTACTCCCTTGCTTGCCTAGCCGTTTTGGAAGGACGGACCCTCCAAAACACTTATACCACAGCCTAACCCATCTGGAGAGAACCATGGGCTGCCACAAGATGTGGTGAAGATGTGGTGATGGCCACCAACTGGGGACAGCTTTAAACAAAACCGGACTTACGGCTAATGGCATGGGATAAAAATCTAATCGATAACTAAAAAGGGACTGGACAAATTAATGCAGAAGGCTATGATCATGGGCTCTGGACCCCCCTCCGTTTTAATTCTGGAGTCAGCATGGTTTAAACAATTTAAACAAGCCTAAAATGCAAAACTGCACACACCTGGGAGTCGTTTTCGATAGCGGGGTTGGCAAATGTTCCAACGCGTCCGGAAGGCAGCGGGGGTTACGGTTGTACTTAAGCACAGGGCAGTTCCAAAGAAAGCCCGTGAAGTCGAGCCCAAAATGGCCCAGACGCACCACCGGCCGTGATGGTGCGCTTCCAAAGACCAGCTGCCCGACGGAAGAGCAAGCACACCGTGTTCACGGACTGTGGTCTCGTCTGACAAAGCCGCCTTCGACGCGAGCACCTGCTTGGCCCACCTAACGTGGCACTGAGGTTACAGCCTAGCTGGGGCTCTCGAGAGATCCAGGCAATGGGCTTTCAGCCCTCCTGGAGCTGCTGCAGAAAGAACCAGGGAGGCAGGTGCTCTTTCCCGGAGCAGCCGTGCTGCCCGGCTTTTCTCGTGCTCTCCCACAGCACTCAAGGGGATCTACCCTGAGTGAGGAGGCCGCGCCCCACCACCATGTCATACCTTGACCGAGCTGTTTTCAAACATCTCCACGGACAGCTCCTCTTCCTCCTCCTCCTCCTCCTCCATCGCAGGCGTCTCGACAACCATGCCCGGGTACCGGTCGTTGTCGCAGAACTGGAGGAAGATGGGGGCGCGGCTGGAGTTGCGCTGGATCTCAACCCGCAGGATGCCGTCGCGCGGCCACTTGTCCCGCACGTGCTCCAGGCAGTTGATGGGCGAGCGGGAGAAGGCGATGTGGATGTAGGCCAGGATGAAGAGCACAAAGAGGGCCTGGAGGACAGAGAGGCGGCCACGTCAGAGGCGGGGGCATGGCTCCTCTGCCCCCATCCTGCACAGCAGGAGATGCACAGTCAAGGTCAGGAGGGTGGCACCCCAACTGCGGAACACGCTCCCCAGAGAGGTTCGCCGGGAGCTGATGCTTCTTTCCTTTTGGTGCCAGGAGAAACCCTTTTTATTCTCCCACTCTTTTAATTGCTAATCTGTTTCCATCTGTGCTTTTACACCTGTACTGGATGCTGTGTTACTCCTGCTTTTACCTGTATTCCATTTTATTGTTGTTGTTGTAAACCACCCTAAAATGTTTGTGATGGGATAGCATATAAAAGTTTTAAATAAAATAAAATAAAATAAAGTTTGAACATAAGACAGGCCCTGATGGACCTGGGCACACTTCTGTTCACAAAGCGTCCGGTTCAGCTGCCTTCATGGAAGTCCCTGTATTAATTTTATTTTAATAAATAATAAACTTTTATATGCTGTCCCTTAGGCATGGCATCTCAGGAGGCCTACAATCAGTAAAATCAAATACATTAAAACAACCTAAACAATAAATACCATGTAGCCAATAAAACACGACTGTTGCACTAAAATGCCATTTTTTAAAATAATGGTCAAATTAAAAGGTTTTGACCTGGCACCAAAGAGTATAAGCTCAGCGCCAGGTGAACCTCTCCAGGGAGCGTATTCCATAATCTGTAGGGCATGACTGTCACAGCCCCTCTGGCCCATGCTCCCCAGCAACCTGGACCACCTGGCTCCTCCCTATGCCAGGGAGTTCCAAAGTGCATGTTCGTGTTGTGCTGGGGAAGCCGAAACCCTTGAACCGATTTCACGGCAGGTGGCACCGCGAGGGAGGGACAGCATGGCACGAAGCAGGAGAGAACAAGGGGCAGACTAACCGGACAAGGAACATCCAAGGAGACACCTTGTGCTCTTTATTACCTTAATTGTGTTATCAGCTGTTTCTGCTCCGATTCTCCTGGCTCTTGTGGCAGCCTGTGTCCCTCTGGAGATATTTACACAGCATGTGAAAACGAACACGGTATACACTCCCATGTTCAGGTGGGCTGCCCAAAGGGAGAGGAGAAGAAAAGGGACCCCCATCCCACAAAGTGTAAGGAAATAGTTGGCTCAGCCATTCTGGGAATGGCAAGACACCCTTCTGCCTGAACAGGAATTATGACTGCTGCAGGGATAGCTGAGCACACACAACAGCTCAGTGTAAAAACTGGTGGACGGGTGCGTGTGCTGCCTGAGAACTAACAGGCTCCGATGCCAAGAGAGAGAGAGACAGAGAGAGAGAGAGACAGAGAGAGAGAGAGAGAGAGAGAAGCCCTGAAAGGTCAGAGTTCTTATTTCGCAAGGGGTGCGCTTTCTTGCTCACAATATCATTGCGAAATCTACTTCCTCATTCCTCGAGCAAGCAAAGGCATTTGCCGGATTTTAAAACAGTAACACAAGGACAGGTCCTGCACCAAGGCTAAGTTAAGGAACTGAAGGATCACACAGAAGCCTATTTTTCCTTCTTTTTTCAAAGTCACTGACTCCATTAAAAGTGGGGAGGGAATCTTTATCAGGTCTACAGGTGGCCCAGCACTAGGGGCAAAGCTTAACACTCCCCTGGTGGACTCCTGCAGCACGCTAAGCCAGACTGCTGCCGCCTGGGTTTGATGTCCCCTACCAGGGCCACCATGGGTAGGTGGGGTGCATCACCGGCCCTGCTCCAGGCGGCTGCTGGAGCCCCAAGGGATCCCCCATTCCTTGCTGCTGCTTGTTGGCACGGCTGCCGACAGCCCTGACTTGTGGGTAGACCTCACAAACAAACTGCTCTGAGATATGGACAGCGGCACAATCTGGCCTTGCTCCTCTCAGCCGGCAAGGGCACTGGGGAGGCGGCTGCAATGCGCTTTCCTCAGCCTCCTCTAGAGCCTCCACGGACGGGCAATGTGACAGTGTGGCCTAGTGGTGGCAGGACTTAACTGTGGACTGAGTTGCGATCTGCTTGGCCGGGCAGCTATCATCAGCTTGGCTTCCTTGCAAATCAGCCGAACCGATCTTTGTTCCATGCACAGCAACCAGCCGGAAGCAGGGTAGACCATGGGTGAGGGGGGCCGCAGCCGGCTCTCTCTATTCACAAGCCAGCCAAGCCAATCACGGCTCGCAGCAGAAGCGTGGGGCAGCCAGCCCCAGGTACCTCTCGGGCACTCTGGGGGGTAGCTGTCAGAATCACTGGCCGGGCAATCACTTGGCTGGAAGTTGAGGGATTTCTTGCAGCTGTTGCAAAGCAACTCTGCAGTAGTTTGGCTTACCCTGGCTCTGCAGAAACACAAGAGCTCTGGCCGCATCGAACACGCAATAGAACAGACACTTTAGAATATGCGCTATGTTAAAAACGATTTAGAAGTTTTGAAGCATGCAACCCATCTTATTTATTTTCACTCTGCTCTTAGCAACACTGTTTGATACGCAAGAAAAGCAGGGAATAGGGAGAGAGCAGATTTCTGGCTTCAGCTCCCCACATCCTTGATCACTGGTGAGGCTAGCAGGGGCTTCTGGGAGATGAAGTCCAAAACATAGGGTATGTCCAGACTGTCCATCCCTTCTACAAGCATCAAGCAGTCCCCTGTGGAGATCAGGAATTGTCTACAGTTGACCAGCCTCAGGTCACTTAAACAGTTCCATGTGGATAAATCGTTCCCACACAACCTCCAAATGCTGCAGCTTTTCTTTTAAGCATGGCTGAGCACCTGAGCAATGCCAACTATGTCTGAAATACTAGAGTATGAGCACAGAAGATAAAATACCTAGCCCCATATTCCCCCTTCATTTACCTTCAGGAGCACAAAAAACTCAAAAATGCGACGGAACGATGATGGGAAGAGACGGGCATAAGTGACAGCCATCTTGAAGAAAAGCGCGTGGAAGAGGCGATCACGGACGTTGATGAGGGGGTTCTGGTTGAGGTTGCGGATCCCTCGGTTCCCCGCAGGAAGACCTCCTGCAGCATTGTTCATGGGATGCTGGTGCTGGTTGGCTTGGTTCTCTGACATCCTGAGGTTTTGAAGAAGCAGGAGAGAAGTGTTCCTCAAGTCCCCTTTCAAAAGCAGGTTCTGATGACAGTCCAGCACACAAAAATTCAACTTTGGGGGACGAATCAACTTCCACTCTGAGAAGGCACAGCCGATAAGGAGGCTAAGAAAAAATTAAAGGATTCTTCTCAGTCGCTCCAAGGAAAATACAGAAGTCCAGATCACAAGAAGTCACAGCCAAAATTAAAAATTGCCTTTGATGAGAAAGTTTCAGGACACTTCAAAGCAGCTGCAAGTTGAGATGCGCACGGTAAAATGAGATGACTGGCCAGATGGATTCAGCACCACGAGGCTTCTTAAATGGATGTGAACAAGGCTCAAGAACGAAAGCACTGCGTGGGAATGAGCAGAGCTCGCACAGGAAGGGCACAAGCAGCAGGCTGCAAACGAAAAGCAACTGAGTTCCAGCAAAGGGAAAAACAAAAAGTGTGTGATGTTAAGCTGGGAAAGAGCCACCCTGACTTGGCTTATGAGTGCCCTGACAGGAACCAATGAGGTTTTAGAAGGGGAGGGGACCCAATCTGCTATACTGTTTTTGGCAGGCAATGGAGAACAGAGAGAGGTGAAGTCCAAGAGATCGAGAGAGATATAAGGTTGTTTGTTCTCAAAGGTGTGGCAGCAATTAGCACCCTTTCAAGTCCCCAGTGTATAAGAGTAGGGATGGGGGAGCTAGGCTGGAAGACATAAAAAAAACTTTGCTGAAATATTTTAGGTAACCAAGCTATGCACTTGCACAATGAAAGGCAAAAAAGCGAAGGGTGTACCAGAAGCAGCAAAGGATGCTTACCTCAAAGCACCCCAACCTGGAGAGATGGACAAACCGGGGGAGTGATAAGGCTCCTTGCTTTAAATGGGAGGATGCCGGGGGGGGGGGGGGGGGAGCAGCTTTGCCAGAGGGTTCAAAGTGTGCGTGTGTGTGGGAGGGGGGAGACCTACCTCAAAAGGTTTATGACTGAGTAGAAGGAATACTTCAGTGAGGAGAAAACTACAACCAACCTATGAAATGGGATAGCGTGGCAAGAAGAAAAACTTTGCCCAAGAGGGGAAGGGTGGGGGAGTGCCTACCTCACAGGGTGGCGGCAATCTGGAAGGTGGGGAGGGGAAGAGGGCAGCTTCCAAGGGCTAGCCACAGATGGGGCAGAGCCCCCTACATAGACTTACCCCCCTTTCAAAAGGGGAGGCAGTCCTGCCCCACAACAGGCTCGCGAAATTGGGGGGGGGGGGGGATCGAAAGCTTTCGGCCAGAAGGCAAAGGGAAAGAGCGACCCACGCAGACCCCCCTCCACACAAATAAGCCTCGGCCAGGGTGCAGGTGTCAACGAAGGGGGATAGTTCGAGAAGCGGCGCCTCCCCAGAAAGCCAAGCGTGCGCCTCAGGTGGGCCGCGCCGGCCGCTTCCCCCAGTCCTCAAGCCCCTTCCGTTGTCGGCAGTGCCCCGTGCCCCAGCAGCCCCGGCTCAGTCCCCCTTCTCGTCCGCCCCGGCCGCCGCCATTTTGTTTGGTTCGTTCCTTCCTCCTCTTCCCCCTCCTGCCCAGGCTGAGATGATGACGTCACCAGCGGAAGTTGGGGGGCAGAACGAGCGAGAGCGCAGAGCTGCGGGGCGAACAGGACTCTGGGAAGGACCTGGGAGGAAGGCGGGGCGAGCGGGACCAAGCCCAAAGGGATACAGTCACTGCACGAAACGGTGCACGAAACAACACGTACGGTTCCTGGTTGACGGCATCTTTATTTTTTCACCTTTTATTATTACATTTCTATATCGCCTTATTGCCCAAAGGGCCATCAGATGAGGGCGATAAGACAAGCATATTCCCTGCTCCTCCAAAAAATAATTTGATGGACATGTCGGGAAAGTCATAAGGGGAAGTTCCCTTCCGCACAACTCCATTGAGACCCTTAGCTTAAGCTGTTGAACTTCTGCCTGTCCTGATTATGTGGTTCATTTTTCAGGCAACAGCAGTGGAAAGCGTTGATTTTATTTCTCTGTCTCTCTCTCTCTCTCTCTCCCTTAATTTCTCTGGAAATCATTGCTCCCTCTCCTGTTAAAATGATTGTTATTGAAGGCAACAACTAATACAAATAGCATTTTGGAACAGAGTGGAGACTCCAATGAATTGCGACATCGAAAGGAAACCCCTCGAATACTGACGTCTTTTTCCTATTGCTTTAATGTAACATTTACCATACCTAGACCATATATAGTTCTTGTCAATAACTGGAATGAGGACTCGAAGTAATAAGCGTGTGGCGCACTGGTTTTCCTATACCTCTTGGTCATGAATGTCTCACTGCCCCGGCTAACACAAAGACTCTTTATTTCCATAAGCAGGCCCGCCCATCCTGTTCCGTCATGCACCGCGGAAGCAAGTTTATAATTTTCTGAAGTTTTTCTCATTTTACTGCAAAATATAACTATGCTAGAAACATTTGTATCGATTTCTTGTAGGAAATATATAGTATAAAAATAGTCTAAAGGGAAAAAAAATACCTATTCACCGTAGCCTGCAAATATTATAAAAATTGAGCTATAAGTAGGAGTCGGACCGCACAACAGTTTGTGCTCGCTTCGGCAGCACATATACTAAAATTGGAACGATACAGAGAAGATTAGCATGGCCCCTGCGCAAGGATGACACGCAAATTCGTGAAGCGTTCCATATTTTGCTGTTTTTTCTTCCTCCCTGCATGGCAAGCTATAATTAGGCAAAAGGGGGCAAATAACCGCGAGTAACATCACCTGTTATATTGCAGCTGGTATACTATGGTGGCCTACAGCTGTCTTTGCTGGCATAAGTGCAGGCAGTTGATTTTATGCTGTTGTTAGTCGTGAAGTTGTGCCCGACCCATCACAACCCCATGGACAACATTCCTCCAGGCCCTCCTGTCCTCCACCATCTCCAGGAGTCCACCCAAGCCCACACCCATCGCCCCAGTGACCCCATGCAGCCACCTCATCCTCTGCCGTCCCCTTCTTCTTTTGGTGTCAATTGTTCCCAGCATCAGGCTCTTCTCCAGGGAGTCCTTCCTTCTCATTTGGTGGCCAAAGTGTTTGAGTTTCATCTTCAGGATCTGGCCTTCTAAAGAGCAGTCAAGGCTGATCTCCTCTAGGACTGACCAGTTTGATCACCTTGCGGTGCAAGGGACTCGCAGGAGTCTCCTCCAGCACCACAATTCAAAGGCCTCAATCCTTTGGCGCTCAGCCTTCCTTATGGTCCAGCTTTCACAGCCATACATCACCACTGGGAAAACCATAGCCTTGACTATACACACTTTTGTTGGCAGGGTGATGTCTCTGCTTTTTAGTCTGCTGTCTGGATTTGCCATAGCTTTCCTCCCTAGGAGCAAGCGTCTTTTAATTTCTTGGCTGCAGTCCCTGTCTGCGGTGATCTGGGAGCCCAGGAAAATAAAATCTGTCACTACCTCCATTTCTTCCCCATCTATTTGCCAGGAAGTGATGGGACCAGATGCCATGATCTTAGTCTTCTTAATGTTGAGTTTCAAGCCAACTTTTGCGCTCTCCTCCTTCACCCGCATCAAGAGGCTCTTTAGTTCCTCTTCACTTTCTGCCATGAGAGTGGTACCATCTGCATATCTGAGGTTGTTGATATTTCTCCCAGCAATCTTAATTCCAACTGGTGATTCATCCAGCCCCGCCTTTCTCATGATGTGCTCTGCATATGAGTTAAATAGGCAGGGGTACAATATGCAGCCTTGCCAAACGCCTTTCTCAATTTTGAACTCTTGTCAGTCTTGTCATCTCTTGTTTGACCACATCCAGCTTGCCTTGAATCATGGATCTTGCATTCCAGGTTCCTGTGGAGTATAGATTTTCCAGCACCGGACTCTCCTTTCACCACCAGACAAATCCAGAGCTGAGTGTCCTCTCGGCTTTGACCCAGTCGCTTCACTCTTCCTGGCGCTACTAGTACTAGCCCTCTGCTCTTCCCCAGGAGCACATTGGACACCTTCCGACCTGAGGGGCTCATCTTCCGGCGTCATATCTTTTTGCCTTTTGGTACTGTCCGTGGGGTTTTCATGGCAAGGGTACTGGAGTGGGTTGCCATTTCCTTCTCCAGTGGATCACCTTTTGCCAGAGCTCTCTGCTATGACCTGTCCGCCTTGGGTGGCCCTGCATGGCAGAGCTCATCGCTTCACTGAGCTATGCAAGCCCCTTCGCCATGGGAAGGCAGTGAGCCATGAAGGGGTTATTTTTTGGGCGCAGTCTATAGATACAGTGCTTCACTGCATATTTATTCATTACACTTATATTGCCTTTGATTTCCATATTTGTATTGTTTGAATCTTGGATAGTGTCTAGGGAAGGTGCTACAATTGCAGATGTACTAAAATATTTTTTGAAAAATAGCTCAACAGCCATTTTAGCAGGTCGCAGAATGGGGAGAAAGAAAAAAGGGGCCATTCCACTAAGTCTTGTGATTTTTATATCTTCTTTCCCCATCCCTTTTGTGTCGTATCTTTTTAGTTTATAACCTTGGGACTGACATGTGAATGACTGGGTACATGCCACTTCAGGAGAATATTTGATTGAGCAGTAGGACGAAAATTCTTTAACAAAAGATGTGAATAGTATTACTATTAATAATAGGGGTGAAATAATTCCATCACTGTTTTTATTAGCTATGAAATATTTATTACCTGTATTTACTGTGCAATATTTTCTCTGGAGTTAAAGAAATTTATTGATGCAAAATAAAAATCCAACAGCCAAACCTTTCTACCAGGCTCACAACAATTTAAAAAAATATTACAAAGAAGAAATGCAACATTATACTGAAAGCTTGTCTGACATTCTTCACATGTACAATTTAAAAACAGTTTTAGGATGCAAATCTAATCTTCCACAAAATTTTCACTTTTTTCCTTCTAAGTAGCTTTCCTAAGCTTTTTCCCCCTTTCTTGATAAAAATCTGTATTGCTTCCTCACAGCTAAATTCTCCCCATTTCATTTTCTTAATGCACAGTATTTTTGATAATAAAGAGAGGAAAATCAAATTCAAACTTAATCATCCATAATGGTCATGACTGTCTTCTAATTTTGCCATTTTCCAAGTGCCTGAAAAAAACAGGCATGTTTAAATGTCCAATATGAGCTGAATGGTCCCATGATGGAGAGCAGAGAGAACAAGAATTATGATTTCCTTCTTTTGGTTTATGGGTTGGCAATTTGAATCCATTGCTTAGTGATATTCAGTCTGAGTGCAGTAATTTGGAGTAATTTCCAAGGTGCCAAACATCTGAATCCACAGCAGAATTGTTGAGCGTTTTGCTTTTCCTGTTGGCATTGCACCGTCTCTTGCATTATCTTCCCAGAAAAGGTCAGCAGGGCCCCAATGTTCCTAGACCTGATGGGGAGACCCATGAAGCTGTGAAGAGAAACCACACACTGAGATTAAGTATTCTAAATACAATTAAGAATGCTGAAGTAAATGCCATTCAGCTCTCGAGCAGACAGAACCTTTCCGAAATGGTGGACAGGAAGGGATGATTCAGAGTGTATTGAACTCTTCACATGGGCAGAGGTTACCTTCCCAAGTGAGTCAGTCCATAGGGTGCCCAGGTGAATTGCTCACATTCAGGACTGAAATTGACAGAATCTTGGTTTTCAATTTGTGAGGAAGAAATAAAAACTCGGGTTTGTGGGAAAGATCAAACGTTTGAACCTCGGCTGCTTTATTGACCGGTGCCCCAGAATTCCTGCAGTTGACTAACAATAATTCATTACCGGGTAGAGGCAAACTCAACTGCGAGGTTTCAATACAAGTACAAAGCATTTTATACTCTCTTGGTCACATACACATGTACAAAGCAATTGATGACAGAATGCAGACATTACAATGAAATTCTGAGGTCATCATATACAGAACAGATAAGGAAGTTCAGCCAAACATACAAGTGACAATACGAGTACAAATATTTCTAACTGCAGTGTATTAGACCCTTATACACCCTCACGCCCCTTAAGATCTGAGGGAGAAGCCCAGCTCCAGGAACCCTCTCGAAAAGAGGTTAAAAGGACTTGAACTCAGAGCAGGGCCTTCTCTGCGGTGGCGCCCAGACTCTGGAATGCGCTCCCCAGAGAGGTCCGCCTGGCACTGAGCATATACTCTTTCGGTGCCAGGTCAAAACCTTTTTATTTAAGCGCTATTTTAAAAGTTAATAGTGTTAATGATTCCAGTCGCTTTTGCTTTGTCTATTTTGATTAATTTGATGTTTATGTATAGTTTTATATCACTGTTTTAATCTGTGGATAGTGTTACTAGATGTTTTAAATTGTTTTTAAATTGCTGTAAGCTGTCCTGAGATATTTATATAAAGGATAGCATACAAAAGCTTTAACTAAATAAATAATTTTTGACATTTCAGTTGTGTAAGTCCCAGAAACTTGAACCCATATCCAGGTCTGCTTAAACATGTAAATGTGTCTGATGGATGAAGCATTTAGGGAATCTGGTTTGAGGATTTCACTCAGGCTGCCTCTGTGGGACTTAGCTGGGCCCCTTCAGAAGCAA